AAATACAAAGTGGTGTCATTAGAGTACATTGAACGTTTGATGAAAAGTATTTCTTATTTATGGAAAGTTAATAGATGAAATTAGTCATCATTTTATTGGATGGATTTTTTTTTGTGTGAAGTAAGTTGAATTATGGAGATAAATGAAGAATAATTTCTGAGAGTGTAAAATCATTATTAGTGAATTGTATATAATTTTTTTCACTTATAATAAAGAAACTTATCATCAGCACTTATCAGAAGATTTATTCTTCATTCTCATTTACATATATGTAAAGAATATAGATTCAAACATAATATTTGTCATAAAAATGATGATAATAATTCTTTTAATATTTTTTTTAATTACAATTTACATTTTTTTGAACATGCATGTCTTTGATTCCGAAATAAAGTCTAGATAAAATTTATCATTCATAAATTCAATGTTTCATTTTTCTTCAGTATTTAAAGCAAACAATTGAATTTTCGTAAGACATAAACCCCAAACAACACATCCAAATTCTTATTTAAAGATTTTACGAGTTTCCCATGGCTGAAGCAGGCTCTGAAAATACGGAAGTTCGATGGCAGTATCTCGTGTACATTAGTATACTGGCGTTGCAAGTTACTACAGTCAAACCAGTGCCAGGACGAATCGTACAATTTTAGTGGTCACAGTGGCTACACACCCCCGCGATAAACTCCCTGTAGTGGTGCAATTCACCATGCTGGTACATATAGATTTAGGGTGTTTTCAACTAGCTTTCTATAGACATATATATTCACATGCATTTATGCAACATCCCTACAGCTAAGCACGTGTATGTGTTGCATTTCCGCGTCAAGTTGCGTGCAAGCATGCGACCAAGTTACACCCCTAGGGGACTTTTGACTAAGTAGAACCCGCGGAGAAGATACTGTCGATGAAAAACCAATCTGATGTAGGTATTAACGTTAAGAAGAGCGTGACCAATCAGTTAGATTCGTTCAACGGTTTACGTGAGATCTCTATTATCCGGGTTATTTTTTCATTTTTAATCGTAGGGTGTCGAGTATAGACTCGACTCTAATCGTTATCCTTGTGGGATTTTTCCAACTCTCAGGAAATAATAAAAATTGTTTAGCATTCAATTTTTAAAGATAAAGCTATAAAATACTTAAAAATATTCTATTTTTATTCTTATCAAAGACAATTTATCATAAAATATTAATGAATTTTTTTTTGAAGATTAATAACAATTATTGCATTCCAAACTAGAATTTTTTGTATTAAATAAAAAAACTTATTTTAATTAAAATACTTATTGTTTCTAATTGGTTAAAGAAATTTATTTAAATTTTTATGATAAATTATGTTGGAATAAAAAACGGAATTAAATCCAAGTAAATAAGAAATCATTCGTGAGAATAATTTTAATTATATACTAAGATGAATTAATCTATATCGGCACATCTATACAATCGTCAAACATAATGATAGATGTTAAACAAAACTCCTCCTATTCTTTTACCTACTGAGTAACAAGCCATCAAGAAATAGAAAAAAAAGAATGAAAAATATACATAAGGAGGAGAGAATATAGACAAGAAAAAGACAAGGAGGCGGTGAATAGCATCCTCGGTGGTCTCGCGGTCAACACATAATCGTGTCTACTACACCAAGTGAAGTAATAACGAAGCGAGAGGTCGTACCTGACTAACTATAGTCTTTATGCATTTCACATATGACGTTTGAGGCTTTTCAAGTTTATACAAAGTACAAAATTACCAGGAATCAAGAAGCCAAAAGGTCACGGCATCAGCAAATTCCGTTTTCTCCATGACCAAATATAATTTACTGTTTCCCAGATATTTAGCGTATTAAACGGTATAAAAATGCTTCTTCCAAAATATTTTATCAAGTCATCACAATATTTCTCCTTCTCTTTAAGAAAAATAATTAAATAGTTCATTACAGTTGAAATTTTTTGTTTAGAAATGTGTATTAAGTAAATAAATGTTTTTTAAATTTCTTCACATCAAATTGTTTCATCATTATGTTTTTAATCAACGACCTTAAATATTCGCTTGAAAAAAAAACTAAATAAATTTGACTCCGTAATTTGTGAATAAAAAAGATTTTTTCTTGAGAAAGTTATTTCGCAAACTTGAAATCTCAAAAAATTTTTTTTAAATCTTCAAGATATTAAAGAGAAAGCAATGTTTTTATCTTACAAAAACTGAATTACCTTTCTTTCAAGCGAATCATAACAAACAAAAATTAAAACTTGCTATATACTTTCCAACTCTTTTCTTTTGAACTCATTAAATCAATTGCAAAAAATATTACACATTGAAAGCTAATTCCTTCACGAAAGTGTAAAAAAATATTCATTCTACTACATGAGGTTGAAAAAACTGAGCACTCGAATATATGTTAAACATAACACACACGAAGAAAGTGTAGATAGACAGCAGCTGGGCTCGATGGTTCATTAGGCATGCATGCGCCCGGGCAAATCCTACATCTACTCTAACTCTATGCATAACGCTGGAAGGGATGCTAACGAGACGTCTATATCATTATGCTATCTTGTATAAGCACACACGGTGTTTCAAGCGTCAGAAGAGTCAGTGGACGCACGGAATAAGGGAGGTTGTGTTGAATATTAGGACCTAAGGCTCTCTATAATATTTTTTCTCAATTTTTTTCTTCCTCATCTTCCCTTTAGTTTCTGCTATACTTCCAAGGTAACGCAATGGTCCAAGATAAACAGTTGAGGATGTACCCAACAGCCACTTTCGATTCCAGGACCACCATGAAAAAGACGCCCCTCTATATTCATTGCCATTTTCGATTTCTCTCTCTTTAAACTCAACATATTATTTTATTCATTCATTTTTTATTTCATCATAATTTATTAGCATGAACAATCTCAGCAGCTTTTACATGTGGTGAGAACATTACAAGCCAACTGTCAATTGCAATCGACTTCCGATTGACTCCTTTTCGATTGGAAAGTTGCAAGAAGTCCAACTAATCATTTGAATTAATAATAATTGAAGGTTGAACATCTGTTATGAGCAGGTGTATAAGCTTTGCTAAAATTCTTTGAATCAGTGTTTTATATCATGCAATCTTCATTCAATTAAACTGTTGGAAAGATATCATTAAAATGTCAAAATTCGTCAGAAATAAAAAAACAACATAATGAGAGTTCATAATGTGTATATAAATGTAGAAAATGACGTTGAGATTTTTATTTTTATGGTAACACGCGATTTAAAAAATGCCGTAAGTCTCTATGTTCTATTTTCGAATCTAATTTAAATCAAACCAATCACTAAACAATTTTTCCCAGGAGTGTTTTATAGGGCAGATACAGCTTTTGGTAAAGCACTTAATCAACTCTCGAGGGTTGAAAATTCGTCAAGTCATGTACTCTTCATTCAATCTGCTATCCCATCACCAGATTTTGCTCACGTTCAACCGTTCATCCTTCATAAACTCATCGAATCCATAAGCGGACAGCGTCAAGAGTAAAAACTGGTGTTGAAATCAATTACTATTTTTATTGAGATATTTTATAAAATCATTGTTGTATAGAGTTTCGGTGGTAATTAAAGATATTGATTATAGCTAACACAATGTCTTATTCAGTCGATCTATTATACTTTAAAATAATACTCGAGATTTCAAAACAAAAAACTTTATTGAGTCAAGAATTGTACCTAACATACAACTACCCATGTACACAACAGCACAGTTTTTCTTCAAGTATGCACTAAGAAAACTTTTTCACTGAAAAAGACTAGTGTTAAATTAACTACTTGTAATACTTAGAATAAAAATAATTCTATTGATGATCAATATTTATTTCACTTGCCCAAAAATGTATTGATTACAAATAAAATATTTTCTATGATAAACTGACTTTTACTTTAAGTTAGAAAAGTTTTTACTTGTATTTACAGGAAAAAATATTTCTTTAATGTGAAGAGCACCTTTATAGATAAATAAATAATTCCTATTTACAAGGATAATTTTTAGAAGATTAGAAAAAGTGTTTAACGAAAAAAAAAAAATTACCAATAATCAAACGCTGTATCATAAGAAAGGATTACTCGACGAGATGAACAAGATGTTACCTTCTGCATTTATATTTTTAGTAATTTATGAACTGATGAATTATTATTCTCCACTGAAGTGATCAGATACATCAATAAATTTAAAGAAACCTCGAATGATTAAACTTGAAACCAGATTTTTCATAATCAGATAATTAATATTAATTAACGATGCTCTAATACTCAAACTTATTTGTGTTTTTGCTTTATACAGTTTTATTCTTCGTATTCTGTATGTGTATCGCTTTGAAGTGAACTCGATTGTTACTTTGACGGTAGTAGTTAAATAATTCAACCTTAATTAGAATTTACGTAGTTGTTGGGAACAATTAAGTCGAAAGATACACACTAAAAAGACCATCTGTGTTACTTGATGATAATATAATTGGATGATTTTTAAAAGACTAAATTTATTTATTTGCATGAATTTAATGTGATTTTGTATTAATTAAGTTTCAAATTAATTGAAATTTATGACAAAATAAGACGTTCGAAGAGTAACATCTAGATATCTAGTTAAACCAATAACAAAATTAATTATCATTACAATCATGTTTTTTATTCTTATCAATAAATACATGCAATGAAATTATCCTTTTCTATTATCAACCATCAGTTGTATTCTTTTCTCAGAATGTTAATTATTTCTTTTTTACCTTGAATCTTTTATAAAAATTACAAATTTTCAATGAGTTTTACCTTGGTTTATGATAAAAATTATAAAAATCCCATGAATAACTATAGATTGAATTGATTTTTAAATACTGTTAACTCTGAAATATCATGAGTTCGTGCTCATTTGAATAGCTACATGGGAGAAAAAATAACTTAGCTGATAATACAGCAAAAAAATTTACCAGTATGACTAATCTATGTACATAATATAACCAACTCAGTACAGAATATCATTACATGTAAACAACAATTATTAAAGTAAAAATTAGTTGTTTATGATGGTACTTTTTTCTTTTAATCATATAATATTGATATTCATTATTAGTCTATTACTTCTATTGGAAAGAATAAATGGTAAATCTTTAGATGGATCAGAAATTTTAAGTAAGTAGTTGGAAAGAAGTTTTTGTAGTCATTTGATTAAAGATCTTTTAATTATCAGGGCGACGAAAACGAGAAGATGGCGAAGGACCAGAAGTAATAAAAATAAAAATACATGTTGATGGTAAAGAAGAAGATGAAATTGAAGTATCAAAATTAAAAGAAAATTATATTGCTAACGAGAATTTAAAAGTATGGACATTTGATACAAATGCCAGCAACTCACAAACTAAATCAAAAATAAAACAAAAAAATGATGTAAGATAACTACTTTTATCTTTAATAATTACTTTAAATATTACTACTTTACTTTTTCATTTTTTATGCTTTCGTTAATTTTGGTGATAATAAATCAATAAATACTTTGATAAAAAACTATTTATAAAGTGTTACTTCAATTATTTGAAGTGTCTAAAAATCTTTTATTGTTATTTTTTAGGTACAAGAAGAAATAGGAAAATGGGACATGTATCAAAACAAAACTTTGAGATCTGCAGTTGTATATTTCCGAAAATTAAAATTATTAGCAAGTATCATTGAATCAATCATTCATCCATAATATCTTCAACTGCATTTTATTTTTTAAAACTAATTGAATTGAATATAAAATATGTTACAATTTTACGCATTTTATCTTAGGGCGGAATAGTTGGTAAGAAAAAGTATATAATTAATTTTGTTAATTATGAAGGAAGTAATGAAGTCACAGTGACTGATCCACCTCATGAGGCTTCAACTCGAAGCAAAAGAGAAAGTAAAGACACTTTTGAACGTCTAGCTGACTCTTTTCCAGATATGCGTAATTATCTTGTATTTGTAAGAATATTCTATTAAAAAAAAACGTAGCGTTTAATTAAAAATCTTTTAATGTTTAGAGAGAATTAGTAGATCTATTAATAATACAACAATTACTCCAAAAATTGAATTTTATTTAGAATCATTAGTTGTCGTCAGTGGGAGTTTAACTAACAGGTAAATAAATTATTCTAATTAATTACAACATTACTAATTCAATGAAAAACGTCTGTATAAAATTTTTCAGTTTTTCTTCAACCATCGATGCAGAATCGTTGAAATATAAACATTATGTCATGCATGTATTAGTATTCTTTAATCTAATTAACGTGAAATTTCCAAAAACTTTTAAAATCAATGTTGCTGGAATATTATTGAAAGAAGTATCGCTTTTAATTCTATTTTTTGAGACATGTGTTAAAATAATGCACTATCTACTCCAAAATCGTTTTTCTTATAGAAATCCGATGATCTGCCTTTCTTTGAAGCTAAAAATTCTTTAGACAAAGTAAAAAATCAAATTAAAGTCATATCTGCTCGAGAAGCATTAGAGAACTTTCTAAAACAATGTGAACCTCAAATAAACAGTGATGTTTATGACTATGCTATTCATTTAACTGAGTAAGAATTTTCCTTCTTTATTCAAAAGAAATCAATACTCATTATTTTAACTAATTGATTAAATATTTTGTAGCTATACTTTGCATAGTGAATATACAGATAAAAATATAAACGGTGAGATAAAAAATTAAATCAATTATTTGGAACAACTTTTTCTTCTATTTGTGAATATTTTTTAGCATTTCTAAGTTACCCGACTCAAGGAATTTATGCAGCAAGACAAGCTAAATCTCCTAGCTCTCATCCATTAATTATTACATCAAGTAGCTTCACATATGCGTCTGTTTCTCATGCAGCTCATCAAATCTATCATGTGTAAGAAATTATTTTAGCACTAAAATTATTAATATTAGCTAATCAAAGAATTTTTAGAATCGGAGGATGGAATTACGTGGATGTATCACACAACAACATGAGTTTTAGAGTGATTACTGATGATATTCATGATTATCAGTGCTATTTTAAATGGTAAATAAAACAATAGAAATATTTCAAGTAATAAATTTGAAAGTCTAAAAATGGGTTTTTTAGGAATAAAGATTGGTGTGCTTTTGTTAATGAGCCACATTCATTGGGGTCTACTCCAAGGAAATTGCTCACTTTAGATGAGCATTGTTGGTGTAGTAATTATGCATATCGATATCACAATATCACTGTAAATATTTTATCTCTTTAGTAATTTATTCAAATAGTTTCTAATAAACAATTCCTTGTATTTTTAGAATACAACAGCTATAGATATTTGTGCTGATGGTTTTCAATGTCTAAACATAAATAACAATACCACAATGAAAGTAACAATGGTGATGAATGGAACACCTTGTGGAGAAGAGAAGGTTGAACATAATTTTTTCATAAATAAATATATTCTTGATTGCAACTTTAATCACTGTTGATTTTAGGTGTGTTGGAATAATGTTTGTGTGCCGAAAGCTTAATCGTTTTCTTGCATGAATTTATTATTTGATAAAATGTATTATTTTTAATAAAAACATATTACTGTTCAATATAATCTAGATGATGCAATAAAAATATTGATAAAGTGTCAACATTTTTTGAGAAATAAATATCGAAATTTCTAGATGTTTTTGTGCTTTAAGGATCAATAAACTTTAAAGAATTTTCAATTTTTCGACTTTTATTATCTAACAACTGTTTATTACAAATTTATTCCACTAAGAACTATTGTTGCACCTAGAATTAAATATCAGTTTAGATATCAAACAGAACGTGAGTATTAAGCGCACCACTGTAAATAAAACCCATCAGCTAGAAAATTTATAGCAATCTTATCGTTCGAAAAAATTCCAACGAAATTATCAAAGAACAATTTGATTTTATCGACCAGTCATTGGCTCTAGAATATAAATATGACTACTAAAGTATTTTATGCAGTCTAAACCTTCTGTTCATTATGGCTGTAACATCCAGTCACTATATCATACTTCTAACAGCTCTAAATTTATTTTTTCCAAGGATTCTTGTAGACAGTTATAATGTTGAACATTCAAGACGTTATAAACGTGAAGATACTTTACCACTGCCACCACAAAATATAACAATTTATTTAACAGTTAATCATAAATTAGAAATATTTCAAGTTTCGAAATTGGAAAATGATTATGTGGCTAATAATTATTTGAAAGTTTGGTCTGTTCATACTAAAAAGGTGGAATCGGATCAGTCGAATATGGAGGAGAAAAGCTCAGTAAGATTTTATTCCACTGTTAATAATAAACAATATCATTTTTCAAAGATATCTATTCCATTCATTACATTTTCTTTAATAATTTTTAAAATCTATCATTGATAAGAAAACTCCGAAAACATTTTTTAATGACAATGTAATGATGAACATATTTTACTTTGTATTAATTAAATAAATATAAGCAGTTGCCTAGAAGGTAGACCTTGAAGATAACACTAACTATAAAAAATTAAAATTCCAATCACGGATTGAAATAAAAAGACAGATAATATTTTATTTACGTCATAAATATTTTTAATACTAATAATCGTATTTGTAGGATCTGAACCGAGTAGGAACGTGGGTTATGTATCAAAATTATAATGACAAATCTGCAGTGGTATATTTTCCAAAACATCATTTGATGGTAAATTAGTAGATTTTATTTGATCGATTAATTTGATTTAAGCAATTATGTAATTATTTTTTCATTTTAGATTGGAATTCTTGGTAAAAAATATCATCTTAACAATGCTTCTTATTATGGCACTGAAGAATTTAGAGTAACTATTCCATACACTTCTGATCGCAACAGGAAAAAAAGAGAAATAGATAGAATAGAAGAATGGGTTGATAATTCCCCTTTATCAAGTACTTACTTTGATGAATAAGAAATTTTTGTCATCAATTAAACTTTTATTTTTTTATATAGTAATTTAATTTTCTTTTATTAGAAAAATTCAAAAGATCCGTAAACGAAGGAATTCATAAGTCCAAACAGTATCAATTTTATTTAGAATCTTTTGTTTTTATCAGCGGAGATGTCATTGAACCGTAATTAATATTAGTTAAAAACCCTAATTAAAAGTAAGATTGACGCACTTCTAATTTTATTATTTTTAGATTACCAACCTCACTTACAGGTTTAAGAGAAAAGAAAAATGAACATTACATTATTCATGTGCTATCATATTTTAATGTAGTTAACATGTTTTTTGCTAGAACAAAATTCAAAATCAATATTGCTGGAATAGCTATAAGACAGGTAGAAAGAAAATTTTTAAAAAAATAAAATAATTATTATGTATAATTTTAAAATTGATACATTTCTTACATTCATTTTAGGATGGAAGTGATTTTCCATTTTATGATAATAGTGCTTTTAATACTACAACTCGACAGTTACAACTTCGTGAAGCAAATGATGCTTTATTAAAATTCATATCAAAGAGAAAAACACATTTTCCTCGTGACTCTATTGACTTTGTTATACATCTTACTAAGTAAGTATCTTTAATAATATAATAAAAATATTCTACTTGAAATTTTTGAAAAATTTATCAAATAATCATCTTCTAGCTATTCGGTATACGATAAAAAAACCAATCAAACTGTGAAACGTAAGGAATATCATTAAAAAATATTTTGTCATCATTATTTTCATGTAAATGATTAAATTTTTTTTATTTTTTACAGAAATTATGACTTATCCTAAAGAAGGAATAATAAAAACTAAAAAAAAAAATTCTGAATATGTATATCCAGTAATTTTTGGTCAAAGTAATTTAACATTTTCATCAGTTCAGCATACAGCTAATCAAATATTTTATGTGTAAGACTGGAAAAATTTTTTTCTTATTTAATACCATTTTTATCAACTACTGGTGAATGAAAATAAATGTTATAGAATTGGAGGAGCAAACTTTATAAAAAATGTGAACAGTTCAGATGATGAACATTCAGTGATTGTTGATATCTCTAAAAACTGCTCGCGATGCTTTCGCTGGTAAATTATTATGAAATTAATTATGAAGAATTTTGATCTGATGCTAATTGTTAACCATTTTATTTGACATTACAATATATTTTTTTGATTTTAGGAATGAAGACTGGTGTAATTTTGTCAATGAACCAACATCCCTAGGTAAAACACCAAGACAATTAGTTACTAAAGACCAACAATGTTGGTGTAATAATTGGAAATATTACTTTGATGATAAATCTGTAAGTATTGCTTTGTTGAAAAAGTTAAGAAGAAAAGTAATGAATTGTTTATAAATATTTTTTTCAGAATGAAACGATTGTAGACATCTGTCACAATGGTTTTGAATGTCAATTTAATAATCAAACAGTAACAAATGTTACATTAGTAATGAATGGAACACCTTGTGATGAAAACAAGGTAGTATAAAATAAGTTTATCATTTAATTAATAAAAAAAATTGACGAAATATTGAAAAAAATTGTTTTCAGGTCTGTTGGAATAACGAGTGTGTAACAAAAGCTTCATAGAAATATAAAAGCTGTATGATGATTGCAATTAACGAAGACAATTAATTAATGGAAAAAATTTTTATCTCGTATGAGAATATTATTTTTTGCATCAAATTAAATGTTTTTCAGTACTCTTTTATAACTTTTAGCACTTATGTTACTATAATTATTATTATTATTATTATAAAAGTTACTCGGGAAGAATACAATAATAAAATTTGTTGATGATTCAATAATAAAAATGACGTTTAAAACTAGATGTTTAAAAGAAAAAAAGAGTTTTTCCAATGATAAAGTGATTTTTAAGTAGTTTCAAAAATGAAGAAGGTAAACCATATTGCTTGCATCGTATCGAGAATTACAAAGTCATCATTGGGTTGGCATAAGGAAAACAGGATTATCCATTGTCTTAGAATGATTTTTACAAGAATAAAAGGTTGTTGGGCATGTCAATAACTTAAGTCAACAAATAAACAATTGCTTACTCAACTCAATGTGTTTCTACTGAGATTTTTCGAGGTAAAATGAGGTAAATCAACGTTTAAACGTCCAAACTGTCGTACACAACAAGGAATTCTTACAGTCCTTAACTGGAGATGAAGAAAGTATCGACTCTTTGTCGGCATTGCATACACACGATGAGTGTTACGCCAACGCGATACTCGTAATTTCTTCCTCACATTACACACACGCAGTGCGTGAGTCCAAGCACAGCGCAACGACCCCGCTAATTGCCGCATCGGTCACGCAATTTTTTTCCCCATCATCTTCTCTTTCTCTATCTTCCACCTTTTGTACCTCATGTACTTATTTTTCTCCTCATACTCCTCCTCTTTGAGATCTTTATGTTTTTCTGTCAATAATGACTGGTCTTTGTGCCATCCATGTTTTTATTTATTCATCTCTTTACACATTTCCTAATGAGTTAAACACTTTTCAAAGGTATAAGTTAAGTAAATATACACCTTTAAAGTGGGTCACCCTGACTTATCATCAATACATCGTAAGTATATACTGGGTTCTTTACTTGAAGGGATCAAACGGGACTGGCAAGCGTGTTGTTAATTTGAATCGATCAACATCATACTACCATGCTTTTACTATGTGTGAGCAAGCGAGTGGTTTACCACGAAAAATCCTACACGAATGTAGTGATTGAGTTTGCTAGAAGATGCATGACGACCAAAATCCCGCTTACAGTGGGTAATTTATTATGTATATATACTTTAGCGTGATTGAAAATTGCTTGGAAATGTAGACAAAGTGGCCGGTAGCAATAGATGTTTTATTTATTCAATTATTTATTTTAACATTTAAATAGATATCTTGAGTCAATTTTTTCTGAACTCTTTAAATTTTTTAATTTTACTAATTATGCTGTAAAAAACTTTAGTAAATACTGAGTACAATTATTTAATCTTTATTAATAAAATAGTAATTTATTTATTATTAAAAAATCAGTGTATATTCACTAATTTCACTATTTTATTGAAAGAAAAATGAACGATGGAATTCTGAATAAAATAAATAATAATTTTTTGTGGTCTAGATTTTAATAAAATAAGTAAATGAAATCACAAATAAAAAAAAAAATAAGTGAAGAGTAGTATTACTGAGATGCCACCAATAAATTTTGCAACGGCTTGAAATTCATCCCTACTAATACAAGTAACAAAATTAAATTAAATTCAAATATAATCAAATAAAATTTAAATTTCAAATCTTCCTTGGTTGCTCCGAGGGATAATACATCCACTGTAAATTTACTATCTCTCTTCTCTTTCCTTTGCGATCCACCCCCTGAATACGAAGCTGAGATTTAACGGGTCAAATTTGGTCCAACACGAGAGGATGTCAATGTGAGAGGGTGCAAAAGCTGATTGAGACACCGTTTTATTTGTTCAAATTTCTTTTAACAGAAAATAAATAAAAAATACTATACGTGTATACAAGTACTTAGAGTATCCAGAAGAAAAAGAATTGAATGAAAAGATGAAAGGAAAGAAAAATGATGTTATTTTAACTAAGAAGGAATAATACGATAAGACGTAGTAACTATTTTGATGGAACACCAAGCGGATGGGTTTCAAATGATATTAGAAGGGGTAACTTCTCAGAATAACTAAGGCAAGGGGAATGAGGGTGTCATTCTGTGTCAACCGCAGTGCCCTCTGACGATGACACCGCGGAACGCGAAAGGGGATGAAACTAGCTCGGCGTATAACTCGAATTTGCCCTGGCATTCCCGGACTATTTGCTCTCTGCTAAGCGCTTGGTTAGTCTTAACCACTTGCTTTCAAGCGTACGAGCAAAGAGAGATAGACAGAGGGACGAGAAAGGTCTAGTTGGTAGACACGTATACCAGTGGTCGCTTTCTCATAAACCTCTTGTGGTCGTGTTAACTTCAAATAGCTACTGGACTTACTGATGTCTAATCCGTGGTTATAAATAAGCTCAGTAAACTATGTATTTGTGAATTTATTATGAAGAAAAATAATTATTAAACTCAACGAGTAACATTAAATTTTTTCCCGTTAAATTATATTTTTTACGCACATTATCCCTATGATGATGATAAAAATGTGCAATTGCTTTATTTATTTTATGTGAAGATTGTATAATTTATTTATTTATGAAAAACATGAACTACTGACCCTCATTGCCGCTTATTTTAAATAGAAAATATTCTTCTCACACAAAAAATAATTACTTTCATATTTGTAATAAATCATTAAATATTTTGAAAATCATTTTTGTCAATGCTTAATATGTTTTATTTAATCATCAGTATTATTTACTTGAACTTCAAAAGATCAGATGAGCAACTTATTAGCTACCAATAAGTCCTCAGAATTGTGTGGTAAAATTTCTTTGAAAATAAATCTTATTTCTGTTAAATAATTCCATTTAAAAGTGAATAACCACAATATTACGGTACTTTTTGAAATGATTACATAAAAAAAAATATAAAGCTCGTATTTAAGTGAGCTGGATGAATAAAATTGTGAGGCTTTTGATATAAAAAGATTGCAGGAAAGCATTGAGCGTCCCTGTGGTGAGCCATCGTATATCCTGTCGAACATTAGCATATTCTAAACTCATATCTGGGGCGAAAGAGTCGATGGTTGGGCGAGGATATAAATTTATGTTGCCACAGTCTCAATGAACATAGAAGAAACCTCTTGCCACACACGTTGAGACATGCGGATATGTGACGCTCGCGTTCTGCCCTTCGAATTCATTTTCAATGATTTTATCGCTGAGAATACGCATTATTATTATTTTGTATTGACAGTTGCTTTCTATAAATCGTTGGATGGGGTGAAATTATAAATACCACGGTCAAGATAAAAAATGATGAGATTTTATAAGCTGGACACTTTCAGGAAACATTGTAGAAACATTTGAAAAATTTTTATGACGGAAATAGTGAGATTCTTATGACATTACTGTAATCTGATTTTTCTTAAACACATGCGTTTGGAGAAAATTTATTATTTAAATAAAAATAAAAAGATCTAATATTTTCAAATAAAACACTACGATTTGCAGTGATAAGACATAAAATTGCCAAAAATATTTTAACAATAATCTTAATGACAACTTTACTATTCATTTGTAAATAATTATCATCATGTTATAGTATAAATATTTTAATTCTTTTTTAAATATATATATATTAAAAAATATTAGACAGGCCAATTAAGAAATATATTTTTCTAAACCAATTGCAAACGAATAGCTGAAAGCTTTCTTCGAGGATCATGAATTATATTATAAGCTCACATTGTTTCTTATTACTGATTTTCCAAGTGGAAATAGGAATATATACTATGCATTTGATAAATATTTTGATTTTCCGTGCATTAACATACATTAAGTATACGTGAACAAAGATAGTGAATATGCAAAAAATATGACGAGCGAGAGTGAATATAAAAGTAAAGTGGAGAAGGGAGTATAGACCCTCGTACGGAAGTTGCGTTAAAGTTTAGTGTATGCATATAAGAAAGAAAGAAAGCGAACAAGAGAGATAGGACTCATAGTCAACGCCACTTCCTTTGAACTCCCGCACGTTTTTTTTCGGGAACGCAGAGCTAATTAATTTTCTCTCTGCAACTCGCTGCTGCCGGTGTCGTTTATTTTCCACGGATCGGCCTCAGGATAGGGGGAGGAAGAAAGACGCATAGGGTGAATCTCTCTCAGTATAAGAGAGTGGTCGCAAGGGCGGAGGTAAAGAAAAATGGAAGTGAAAAAGGAAGTATAAGTTTTTTTTTTAAATATGTATGTATACATTAGTTGAATAAAATTTCCAGCTTTTTTTATTACCAATTAAACAATTAATTAATTTAATTTTTTTTTTCATTTTTGATGACTTTGGATGATTTTGGTATTAATGTTCTCTAAATTGTCATCACTTGGAATCATAATAAAATCAAAAACAATAATGATAAAAATATATAAAGCACTGAAGATTAGGGTGAATATGGGGCTTCAGCTCAAGTTTACTCCAAAAAATTTTTGCTCATTAGAGATTATTTTTTAGTTCAAAAATTTGCATTTGAAGATGGAAAGATTATTATTTTAATTTAGTTGACGTTCTATTTGTAAATAATTACTGCAATTGTTATTTAATGGATTAAAAGTTTTTGCATCAAATATGATATTTTAAAAAACTCTACTGTATGACAAATCTTGGTAAGAATGCATTCAACAATTTTGTATACATAAAACATATTTTTAATAAATGTTTTTCAATACTTCAGAATGTTACACTGGCTTAAAAAATAGATACAATTATTGATAAGAGTTGACAGTAGAATTTTTTATTCATTTCTCTTTTATAATTTCAATTCATTTTCTGTTATGAATGTCTTCATCAATTTACATTAAAATCAATCAATATTCATTGTAAAGAACAAAGACATTAAAATAGATATGAATATAGACAGTTAGTCAATTGTTATAGCTAAAATTCTAAGAGAAAATGCAAATAATTGTAAAACTTGTTAATTGAAATGCTGTAGGGCATTTGAACGGAGGTTGTTGATGCGTTATATAAACATATTCTTTTAGTTTAATGTGGCTACATTGATTGCGAAGTCTATTTACACTGTTAGGACAGTATACAAAACGATTTCTGTGTTAGCTTGTATATAAATCTATCCGTGTATTAATGAATAAACTGATCCTATTTGCTTTATAACTATAACTAT